CAGCAGGCAACCCAGCCAGCCTCACAGGCGCAGCCAGGCACCTTTGTGGCTTTTCTTACTGCAAATACACTCTCTCTGGTTATCTGTAGGTGGGACATGCACCCCTGGACACCATCTCTGCTGCAGCAGCACTGGGTCCCAGACAGGGCTCTCAAAGGTGGGGGACAGCTCTTGTATCGAGCTGCTCAAACCTAACAGACAGGCTGCCGGTAGGAACAAGTGCTGTCAAGGGGCCAAGCTTTCCATCAGCTGCTGTTTGTTAAACCCTTCTCAGGACAGCCCTGCCAGCAGACAGGGAGGGCAGCTCGAGGAGGCTGCAGGGAGACAAGACCTTGGTGCAATGTGCTCCAGGCTGCGTGCTGGAATTGAGTAGGCATGGCCTCCCACCAGCCTTGACGAGCTGGGGTGCCAGAGGTACGAGCCCAGGCAGTAGGATGCCTGGTGAGCTCGCTCCATTCCTTCTGCAAAGTGTACATCTCACCAAGGAAAGAGGAAGAATATTTTACCACTTGCCTCTGCCAGAGTTGATATTGTCCTACCCAGCCACGCAGCAGACCCTGCGGCAGCCAACTGCAACCTGCATGCCCGCGGTGAACACCACGGGGCCCTGCCAGCTCCCCCCAGCCCCAGACACCTGTGTGCCAGGAACCGCTGCGCCGGACGCACCACCACCAGCATGGAGGCTCCCAGCTGCCCCGTGCTCGTGCTGCTGTGGCTGATCCTGCTGCGCTGGGCACGGCTTGACAGCTGGCACACAGCCCCGCTCCGAAACTCCTCTATCACTTGGAAGGCTGTACCTTTACAACTGCCCTTTCCGCCAGAGGATTCAGACATAAATTGTACTTTAAATTCAATATCAGTCATTAATATTTCATGATTACAAAACGTTAAGGATAATGTCACTGGGAGGAATGTCTGGGCAGTTAAAATGGATGAGTCAGAGCTCACCATGGGAAAAGTCAGAGCACTGAAGAGTCTCCCCAGCTTTTGAAGCGATCCAGCCTGACAGGCTTCCCTGCCGGAGGCGATCCAGCCGGACAGGCTTCCCTGCCGGAGGGGAGCTGCAGCATTTACTGACTTGTTCTGAAATCCTAGCCGCTGCGTGTAAATATTGTCCTTCTGATTCTTGTCACCTCATGTTTCCTCTGGATGCCGAGTTGTGCTGCAATGCCACAATCCCCTCCTTCCTGGCCACTGCTGGCAGAGCCTGCCCATGGACTCCCCAGGGTGTGCCATGGCTCTGCAGCA